TGTGTCCGCTATGAAGTAGGTAATGCTGAACCACGTCATCCTATACACAGCTCGAGACTTCTATGCTCGTATATTCTACGAAGCGTTTGATACTATTATATCTGCTTTTTTTAAAAGGAGCGTTTCAACCAGCCATCCTTTGTTGAATTTAGAAAGTTTGCTTGTTAAGGCATCAAAAGGAGAACGATCTTGCAAAAGAACTATAGATGCTTTTTATAGATTACAAAATGTGCTGAAAAAAGATACATTGATTTTTTTAACATCAATAAAGCTTTCTGTGTATATTTTTGTATTTCTGTCTCTGTAAATAGTGTGAATGATCACCACTGAGGGTTGGGTTTATAGGAGGGACACATATCAATTTTGAAAGCTTTAGGGGAGAGTCACATCTTTACTCGAAAGCTTATCTAGGGGAGGGTCGCCGTCCCTGGCCATTGGATAACTGACACTATTTTAATATTATAATTTATTGTAATTTATTTATTTATTTATTATTTGTTTTAATTGAATTTATTATAATATTATATTTAAAAGAAGTTCTATTAACTGAACAACGATTGCTCTCAAGCAATGCACGAAGGGGTTTGGAAATCTTCATATACTATCATTTCGAACTAAGTCATCCTGCATTTTAAACGAAAATACAAAATTAATTTACATGTACTCAAAAACGAGGAATGTTTGAAATCTTTACTTTTTAAGCATCAATAAAATTCTGTTCAGGTTACATTACTACCTACCCTACGAACAGAATGTTATTTACCTTAGCTCAGTAAAAAAATCGCGGTTCAATTCATTTAATTTAGACGTGCGCAGAAAAACCAGTTTGAGGAAAAAACGGTCTTTTGACTAGCCTCAATTCTTGGGCTAACTGCAGATTAAAGAGATTACGAGGTTTCGGCAGAGTGTTATTTCCTTCACGAATTTTTTACTGAGGTAAGGTAAAATATACTCTGTTCGCAGCGTAATTACTACCCAAATTGAAACAGTCTGACAAACGTGGCGAATTTTTTTTCAACCATAGGAGTCCACTGTATTTTATGTAAAAGATGTAAGACTGAAGTAAAAACCATCAGATGAAAGCCTCAATGATAAGCATTTAGGGTAAGAATTTGTATTTATATATTATTTACATATTATTTATATATATATTTAGCCTTTGGCTGCAAGGTTCATTTTGTAATAAACGATCTATCTCAGTCTATCTCATCTTGTATTTCTTCTTGGTGAGAAATGTACTTCCCCACCCCTCCCCAATGCATCAGTTTGGCTAGCAAACAAAAACAAACAAAAACAAATGAACAAACAAGATGCAAAATAGCAACATGCTTTGTAACTTTTTTAAAACCAATGCAGATGGCCATGGCAAGTCCTGATAAGTTTACTGAAGAACAATTGAACTATTTTCGCATCTGTCACGTGACAGCTCGACTCGTTCCTGATGGCCTCCGTCAAGTGTTCAAAAAAGAGTGGGACGCTCGTTAYAAGACATCGCATGGTGAATGGAACGACACTGCGAAAAATGGAATTGATTTCTACAGCTTGATACCAGCARCAGAGCAAACATCGAAAGCGAAAGAACTTTCTATCATTAGAAATGGCAACACAATGGAATGGGACTGCACTTGTCTTTTTTACGCAATCCTTTACTCCAAGTGTATTGGAAAGAATAAACTTGACCCAAAGGTAAAGAAAACTGTTGATGACCTGAGAAAGTATCGCAACAAATTCGCTCACTCCCACGAAGACACGAGCACTGATGCAGATTTCCAGGCTTCCATGCAAGATGTAATTNTAAGCGGGACCAAAATACCGATTTCAAACCCTAAAAGGGACGCCGAGGACCCCGCCCTTTGATATTAGAGAGTCTCCCCCCCGGGTCAGAAATTCAGATCAGTTTGACATCATCATTTGAGTGTAAAAATCTATATATACGAATCTATATTATAAGAAAATATATCATTAGAATATTATATGTTGTTCAAGCTAAAAGGATAAGTATAATAATTAATTGGGCAATTTGTATAGAAATTGCCCCTACTAGTCTCTACTAAAACTGCATGTTTAAACAAGAGAGAGTGCTTTAGTTAAAAAGACTTCAAAGCCTTTGGCTTCAAGGTGTATTTTAAAATAAACGACCTGTCTTTATCTCATCTTGTATTTCTTGGTGAGAAATGTACCTCCCCACCGCTTCCCAATGCATCAGTGTTGCATCAACTAGTAGAAATATATAGAAAATATAATTTCTAACTTACAATTTTAAAACCAAKGCAGATGGCCATGGCAAGTCCTGATAAGTTTACTGAAGAACAAYTGAACTATTTTCGCATTTGTCACGTGACAGCTCGACTCGTCCCTGATGGCCTCCGYCAAGTGTTCAAAAAAGAATGGGACGCTCGCTATAAGACGTCGCATGGTGAATGGAACGACACTGCCAAAAATGGAATTGATTTCTACAGCCTGATACCAGCAACAGAGCAAACATCGAAAGCGAAAGAACTTTCTATCATTAGAAATGGCAACACGATGGAATGGGACTGCACGTGTCTTTTTTACGCAATCCTTTACTCCAAGTGTATTGGAAAGAATAAACTTGACCCAAAGGTAAAGAAAGCTGTTGATGACCTKAGACAGTATCGMAACAAATTCGCTCACTYCCACGAAGACACGAGCACTGATGCAGATTTCCAGGCTTCCATGCAAGATGTAATTGAYGCTTTCCATGAKTTGAAACTTGACACAAGTCCCATTCAAGATATAAAATCCCAACGAAGTTTTCAAACCAAAGAGCTCCAAAAAACACAAGAACTGTTGGATAAAGAGAAAAGACGTAACCAGGAGCCACAGACATTTTGTGATTTGCCACCCAAGCCATCACATGAAGTCATMCMACGCTCGAGYGAAGTAGACACAATAATGAAAGAGATGAAAACTTTACAAAGCCGCCATCCAAACGAGGTGACACATGTCTACTTGTCAGGAAATCCAGGCTGTGGTAAAAGTGAAACAGCAAGACAAATTGGAGAGAATTTTTTCAATGAAACTGAGACTGCTTCATCGAAGACATTCGTTGCTACACTTAATGCATCAAGCTTGGAATCATTACTAAGATCGTACATCGATTTTGCTCGTCAGCTGCGAATAGATGAAGAATACATTCAAAATATAGAATCATCGAAGACACAACCAGAGGATACAATTTGGAAGGTGATTGGATTGATCAATACCAAGTTAAACTTATTCTCGTCGTGGTTGATTATAGTRGAYAACGTAATCGATCTTAAAAAGTCTTCAAACTTTTTCCCTCATTTAGGGAAAAATGTAACAGCAAAAGCACAAATACTGGTGACTACACAAGACGGGCCATCAATTCCTCTAGCAAGTCCTAAAATCTACCACAAAACTCTAAGTRAAGGAATGAAGCCTGATGACGCCGTTAATGCTCTTTGCTCCATCTCTCAGCTATTTCAAGATAAAGACGTGGTGTTTGAAATTGCAAAGGCACTTGATTATCAACCACTAGCTCTTGCCTGCACTGCAGTCTACATGAGGTTTGTA